CCAAAATTTTTTGTTAATTTTTTTATGATACAGTATATAAAAATACATACAACCCTAAATTTTCACCCCTCTACGATCAACCCCTATTTTTCATTTGTCACTACTTTGTCATTTTTTTACTACATAGAGTGATTCAAGAGGAAGGAGGAACTGAAGCCGGGGCGGGTCGCTAGTAAGTACATATATGAAAGAAATGTAATTACAACAAAATATTTGTATAATGGCCCTTCTTATTACTTAATATTAAATAAAATTGACTATTGATTAAAATTAAATAATATTGACTTGTCACGGTCACGGTCCTCAGAAAGGAACAGTTTATCGTAAATTGTTAAAAACTAGTTTATAAACAGTTAATTTACGCCGCCGATAAGGAATCTGTTTAAATTAACCGAAACGCGGCGTTTATCTAGTCGACGTGTGCGGTAAACGATACGAAGATAAGGATAATGTCTCTATTGAAACAAACCGATTGGCGTAGTGGACCGTGGACATGCCTCTTGCGCCAGAGGGCTTCGGTTCAATCCCCAATACTGGAAAAGTATTGTGCGAACACAGTTCTTCAAGTTTCTACTCAGTAGTTATCCAAGTCTCAGACTCGCGCACAAAGGGTTCCGTAACATTGTTAAAGAACAGCAAAAAAAAAACATGTCTGTTGTATGGAAGCCCCACCTAAATATTTTTATTCTGTTTTTTTTAATATTTTTTTATTATAGCGGCAACAGAAATACATCAACTGAGCACATCAAATTTCAACTGTCTATCACGGTTCATGAGATACAGCCTGGTGACGGACGGACAGACGGATAGACGGACGGACAGACAGACAAACAGACAGCGGAATCTTAGTAATTCGGTGCCGGTTTACCCTTTGGGTACGGAACCCTAAAAAGCATGTTTAAGTGTGTTTATCAGTTACCAAGTGCTCATAGACAAGCTTTACTGAGATTGAGACTAAAACATTTGAGACTTGAAAACATAAGCCCTGACAAAAAAAGTTTAATGGGAAATAAAAAAAAACAGCTAACTAATCATTCACGTCGATAAACAGTTCTTCATTAAAAGCCCACATCTACATGTTATAGGTAAATAGGTAAATAGATTGGGTCTTTATTTGTAAAAACATGGTGTACATCATTGCTTACAAGATATTATATAATATACATTGTCCTATCATGTTCAGATCGTATCACGGCATACAAATTGGCTACAAGAGATGGTGCATTTACCGTGATATTGTTTATTATAAACTTGTTAAAACTGTTGTTATGTACTACTATCGTAAATAATATAATTACATTTTTTACAATGACATTAATTTGTTGATCGCGGCAGCTCAGTGTTTAGACGCTCGCTTTCAAAATTTCCAATTTTCACAAAATTAAATCTAAACTTACATTTATGACAAATTACATAAATATCTAATGAACATAGTTCACGGGGCATGGTACTAAGAATGCATTTCCTCACTGAATAACCGTAACCTAATTTATGCTTTTAAATCAATAAACTCGAGAAACCTCGGTTCAAATCCCTGTAAGCGGCACCAATGAAACTTTTTATTGCAATTTGATAACTGCTTATTTATCACATGCCCATCAGTGAATGAAAACATTGTGAGGAAAGGTGCACATTTTCGATATAACAATAAAAAACCTATTTTACATACTTTTCTTTTTTAAATAAATACATACACAGTTTTATAAACAACCAGCCTCATAAAAACGATCGTTAAAATATGATCATCACAAAATATTTTTCCAGTAGTAGGGATTGAACCCACACCCTCTAGCGCAAGAGACAGGTCCATTGTCAACTACGCCAATCGGGACGGTACAGATAAATAACAGCTTGTTGCTGCTTCTTTTTAACTGTGTAAACATATTTTTAAAACTGTATATAACCACTAGCGGACCGGACCGACGTCATGTACACACGTCTTAAATCTGACAACGTATAAATAAAGAAAGCAAAAAAAAAAAACGAATCGTGAATACGAACCATTGTCGAATCGACCTGAAGACACACAAAATTTCATTAAAATCGCTCCAGCCGTTTAGGAGGAGTACAGTGACATACACACGTACAGAAGAATTATATATTATATATATATTTCTACATATTTTTATTGAATTCTAGTCATTGACAGTTCTAGTCATCGGGGCACCGGCAATTCCGGGGGCCTTTAATAGTTAATTCTAGTCACAATTTGTGTGGATGGCGCCACTATTTGTATTATTTCGGAATGTCAGTCTAAGAGCCACCTAGAATATCATATTAGAATAATGTTACCTTGACAATGAGCCTTGGAGTGAGGTCACATATCGTTAACTACTTATAAGAACTTTAGTGCGGCAAGTTTTTTTAAGCAGTGAAGTATACAGAGTTGATTTAGGTATTTTACCGTTATATAATTATAACTGACGAGGAGTGTAAAGTAATTTAAACTTGTATTATAAAATGTTTTTGTAAGGAGCTAAAGATGTAGTTGTGAAGGCGAATTGTGTTAATTTAGAGATTATCAAGTATTTATATTAAGATTAACGTACATTTGAATTCATTTCCACAGTTGATGTGTCAACAAAAAACAGTATAACATCATATTTATAAATAAAACTACGAGAAACTGTAAATTATTTCACGCTGTAGTAGTTTTAAATTTAATAAGATAACAAACATAAAAAAAAAATTTGGAACCTCAACCTTTTTTGAAGAAACTTTAAAGCGTAAGAAATGCGAAAATTTGTTTATTTCCTCTAATAATACAAATTATTTCCTATAATTGACCGCGTATGACTTTATTTCATTAATTCTGGTCAAAATTTATGTTGAGATTGCATACGTCTGCTGCTCTAGTGATAGGCGATACCGATATTCACTTTTTCCGAGGTTGTATTACGAGAATGTTACTATGTTATTATTGCACATGAAAACTTAGGGTCCCGAAAGCTATTTAACACAAGGGTCTCGTGAAATGATGAAGTCTTTCACTTCAGTTCCCGTAGTTCAACTAAGGTAGAGTAGCAACGTTATTAAATTGAACTAATTTCGCGGACTCGTTCGCGTTTATTTTCCCGAATCGCACAAAGTTTAACATAAAAAAATCCGTAAATTAAAATAACATTTTCTTATATCAAACTTTGCCTGGCGACTAGGCGGTTCACGTGACCATGGACGTCTGCTACACAGGACTTTTTGTAGATGCATTGACAACCTTCAAATAGTGAACTTACTTTAAACACGAGAATATTACACATTTCAATAAGACTAACTTACGGAGTTTATCAACGTTTATTTTAAATGACTCGCAGCAATCATGGCCATGGGCTCGTCACGTTCAAGTGTCACTGTAAACTCTACCATCAGCTAGAAAATTATAAATTCCACTACCATCCTAGTGTTCTGCATTATTGTAAAACATGATACAGGAAGGACAGCATGACCATGACAACGTTAACCTTCCTTTTAGCAAATGTTTAAGATAACCGGAAGAGTGGTGTGCAACATGAACAAAAAATCGACATGCTTGCGGCCCAAGTACTCTCATAAAAAAATCTGTTGCTCAGACAAATTTTTTAACAATTTAAATTAAATATTGTCCTATATTATGGCACCTAATCCGGACACAAATATCAATACGGATAGTCAAAGAGTACGACTTGAAGCTCCGATATCATAGCTATCGCTGGTTCTTTTTATCTCTTTCCATAAATACTGAGCAGGATTTAGAAATTCAAACTTTATAGTGCTAACCTCTGCACTTAAGATTAAACATTAAAATTTGTAGATAAAGTACGAAAAGATCGTCGCCGCTGTGGGAATCGAACCCACGTCTCCGGCATTCGCGGCCTGACGCTTTGGCCACTAAGCTAAACGGCTAATTGTCACAACGACGAAAATCTTAACGTCTTTTATCTACATTGTTTTTTAACATTTGAAGCAATGCTTGGCGAAACCATTGAAAAGGATATCTTTTCAGCATACAAACAAATACTTTTTTTTCAAGTACCTTTCGTACTCTTTCTACAGATTTTAATCAGTAGAATTTGATAAATATAAATCAAGAGTAACGAAGTATTTCTTAGATAGAAATGAAACTAATTTTTAGACAATGTTCGGTGTCTTATAATAAGGGACAAGTATGGCGGTTCATGTTTAACCCCTAACTGCTAAGTGTAGATCAGGTAAATCTAGGGTTGTCATGCAATCTAACTTTTAGATTGCATGACAACCCTTAATTAGTGCAGTTGCAAACACGTGCAAAATGATGAACAATAACAACAAGTATTGGAGCGTAATTTCGAGAATATGAAATAATAACAAAAAAAAAATTCCAAGATATGTGAAGTCCGCCAATCCGCAGTGGGGCCGCGAGTATGCCCTCTATGTAGAGGAGGCCTTTGCCCAGCAGTGGGACGTGTATAGGCTGTTACTTTACTTTTATTGGAGCGTTATATAAGATAATATTTGAGCACATTATTTAGAAGCCAAAACATGCTGCTGTAATAATTCAAATATGCAAAAAACTATTAAAAAAAAATATAATTTAGGGATCATATATTTTTTAAAGACGTTCAACCTCGACGCTTGAGACGATTTTGTCGCTTTCGAGTGTATATATTTTTATGTATATACCGTACGAATATAACTAGTGTGTATTCTAAAAACTTTATTTCAACGCCTCAGTCAGTACGATAGATCAGCGATCAATTGACAGTATGGATGTCGCCAATATACTTAAAAGCATCAATCGATAAGAATATGATTTCAAAAAATCACAGATGTACAAAACGGTATCCAGTTGTATGACATGTTATCTATGCTAAGCGACATCGCTTCTCAGGGCGCCTCCCAATAACGATAAAAACACGCGTCTGTGTGTGTATATATGTGTCCAAATGTGCGTAAGTGTGTGTGCCGCTCAATTGCGCGAACTATAAAAACGAAACTCGCGAAAAACAAATCGCTAACGCTTAAACGTCGCGGATTGTGCGCCCGAAATGTATACGATATTGATCGCCGCATTATCAATATGTTGTTTGCTGTACTACTATTTAACCAGGACATTTAGCTACTGGCAATCGAAGAATGTAGCCGGACCGAAACCACTTCCATTGTTCGGCAACCTGATTGACTCCACACTCAGGAGGAAGAACATCGGTGTGGTTTTCAAAGAGATCTACGACCAGTTCCCCGACGAGAAGGTGGTAGGCGTGTACCGTATGACGACGCCGTGCCTCCTACTCCGCGACTTGGATGTAATCAAAAATGTGCTCATCAAAGACTTCGACTACTTCTCCGACCGCGGCGTGTCCTTCAGCGAGAGAGGATTGGGCAACAACCTGTTCCATTCCGACACGGACAGGTGGCGAGTGTTGAGGAACCGATTCACGCCTATATTCACGTCGGGGAAATTGAAGAACATGGTGTACTTGATGGAGCAACGCGCTGACAAGTTCACTGACTTCCTTCAGGATCTGTGCGCGATGAGGAAGGAGCATGAGGTGCACTCGCTCGTCCAAAAGTACACCTTGTCGACCATCTCGGCGTGCGCGTTCGGTTTGGAAATCGATATTTCGAACGAAAAAATGGAGTTCTTTAAAAAATTGGACAACCTTATTTTTTCGCCAACTTTTATTGACGAGCTGGAAATGATGTACCCAGGCGTACTGAGGAAGTTGAATATGGAAATATTACCTAATTGGGTGACAAGCTTTTTCGAGGAGCTCGTTTCGAACGTAATAGCGCAGAGGAACGGCGTGGCAACGAACAGGAAAGACTTCATGGATTTGATCCTAGAGCTGAGACAGCAGCGTCGAATTCATGGAACCAAAAGGAACGATGACGATACCCAGTTGACTGTCGAACTGACAGACGATGTAATAGCCGCGCAGGCGTTCGTATTTTATGCAGCTGGCTACGAAACTAGCGCGAGTACAATGACCTTCTTGCTATATGAGGTGGCTAAAAACCCGGAGATTCAGGATAAGTTGATAGCTGAAGTTGACGAGGTTTTGAAGAAACACGATGGCAAGGTCACGTTCGATACCTTAAATGATTTGAAATATATGGAGAAGGTTTTCGACGAGACCCTGCGCATGTATCCATTAGTGGAGCCCTTACAAAGGAACGCTCAAATGGACTACAAGATACCAGACACCGATGTCACAATAAAGAAGGGCCAGATGGTACTAATATCAGGCTTGGGTATCCAGCGCGACGAAAAGTACTACCCCGAGCCGGAGAAATTTGACCCCGAAAGATTTTCCCCCGAAAACTCCGCTGGCAGGCACACCTGCGCTTTTTTGTCGTTCGGAAGTGGACCAAGAAATTGCATCGGTAAGTTTTTTTTTAATGTGAGAAGGTGGCAAACAAGCACCGATGGTTCACGTGATGTTAAGTGATAGCCCATGGATATTGGCAACACTCGTAGGGTTGCAGATGCGAGGATGAAACCAGCGCGATCGTTAAGTGACGAAATTATAAATAATTAAAAATCTCCGAAACATCTCCTCGGTGAATCGATTACTTCCCGGAACTTCGTACGACCTTTGATTCGTCTTACAGTCAACTCCGGGTTTGGCTTTTTATCTTTAGAAGATATTACAAAAAATATCCAAGATAGGATATAAGATATTATTAGCGTGCATTAAAGTATTGTTTTTCACAGTTCTATAAGTTATCGCATTCACATCCTTTTATCTGGGAGAAAAATTTAAGTATTCACTGCAAGATAATGTTGTCTAATCTCTGCCAATCATGCTCCGCAGGTATGCGTTTCGCTAAGGTGCAGTCACGTATGTGTTTGCTGAAATTCTTCTCGAAGTTCCGAGTGGAGCCCTCCAGTAAGACGCCGCCGACTATGAGATTCGTCGCCAGACGGTTCATCCTCGCTCCAAAAGGCGGTGTGCACCTCAGTATGATTCCGAGGAAGATTTAAGTTAACAAGCAACATTTTTGGTACAGTGCTAGTCGAAATTTATTCGGTACATAATATTTTTTTCATTTTTCATTGTTTATATGTATTATACATATAAACCTTCCTCGTGAATCACTCTATCTAGTGAAAAAAACCGCATCAAAATCCGTTGCGTAGTTTTAAAGTACTTTAAGACAGACAGACAGCTGGACAACTTTGTTTTATACTATGTAGTGATTATATTTTGAAAGAGAGGGGTATCACTTCAAAGAAGCAAAGATCAAAATTGCGGCGATTTGCTTAGTTTAAATAAATATAAATGTTCTTCCAAATGTAACACTTGCCGTTTACACGGTGACGGCGGACGATAATTATCTATGTTTAGATATTACTTTATCGCACAAATACGAACGGAAAAATGTTATGGTATTATTGTACTTTTATAAGACTAGCTTAAGTTGACTCACATACGAAATTTAAAGATGCACACAAACTAGGTACTTAGCACATAGTACATAACTCTCCAGGTGCACAACAACTGGAGAGTTATGTGTGATTTACTTCAGCTACCGAGGGCAATTTTATAACACACCTTTCATTGTGTTTAAATGGTTCGGCAAGTTGGATTCACGCACGAAGGGTTCCGTACTATTAGCTATAAAAACAACTGTTGTATGGGTGCCCCACTTAAACAGATTTTAATTTGGCTTTTAGTATTTTTTGTGAATTAAATTTCACCTGTCTAAAAATCACGGACCATGAGATAAAGCCTAGTGATAGACGGACAGACGGACAGAAGGACAAACAGACAGAAAGACAGCGTCTTAGTCATAGGGTCCCATTTTACCCTTTGGGTATAGAACCCTAAAAATGACAGCTTTATCGATCTCTACCAGTGTCATTTGAGACAATTATTAGAGACTACCATATGAGGTTAGAATCTTATTATTGGAAAAACTAGTTTCATGCATTAAAAATACTACAAGTCATTCATTCAACAAGTACTGACAATATTGTAACGGTCACTTACAATTTGACATCATAATCTTATTTTTCCTGGTAATTATGATATTACTATGACACAGTTATTTTGTTTCACCAAGGTTCAGGAGTAAACAACAGATATCCAGATTAACACAATATTTTTTGCTTATTTTTAATTTTGATTCCCGACATTTGGAACCATTTTCAGCGTTCATGGTCACGGGACAGACAGACTGAGGACTCGGACGGGCTGCTTACAGTTTTTGAATTATTAATTTTGTGTCCGATCTATGCAGAAGGAGCTATATGTATCTTGTCTTGCAGTAGTGGTCCGTTTGGGCTTGCGATGTTATTTATATTGCGGATGACCGAAATATCTAAGAAAGCTAAAGGGTTATTATACTCCAATTCCATAAAACGCGATAAGTCCGTAAGTAAAACAAGTATAATATAATTTAAGAAACTAAAAAACCTGACTGCGTTTCTGTGTAATTTTTTTATTTTGATATACCCAGCGTCACTCTCACAGTAAACACAAATCTAACGACACCTCTCAAGGTAAATTCCATGAAGCCGTTCAGGCTACAGAGCTTGCCAAACAATTATACATACATACATACATGGTAAGCCTTCTTCTGGCGCAGTCTGGTAAATAGTTTCATTTATAGCAAACGAGTGTTAACCGAGAAATTAATCCTTATGCGGACTTATGAAATGAAATTATAAAAATTTAACGGTGGTAGGGCCACGCAGCAGCCTCGGCTGTTGCACGAGTGTACAGGCTTGTCCGGGTAAGTCCAGCGACCACCACCACGACCTCACAGAAGACCAGCGTAAAGTGGAAGTATGAAAAATACTTTCGCGTAACGTCTGGTGAGTGAGGTGGCCGGAGCCCATATTTCGAAAAGTTGTCAACGCATCTGGAACCCCGTGGTGTAGCAGATGTCCATGGGCGGCGGTATTCACTTAATCAGGTGAAACGTCTACTCGCTTGGCAATATTTCACATTAAAAAAATTGCCTTTTTAAATTCTTTTGTTTTATGTGAGAATATGGCAAACGAGCTGGCGGTTCACCCAATCTTAAGTGACAGCCGCCGTCTTGGACATTTGAAACACCCGTAGGGCTGCAAATGCCTTTTAATGAAATTAAATAGGATGGATGTCCTTTAGTGATTACTACACGGCTGAACCGATTTTATTGAATGATTTGATTTTTTTTTATTATTTATTTATTTAAACTTTTACACAAAAAATAAACATTGTGTGTAGGCGGACTTATGCCTAAGGTATTCTCTCCCAGTAAACCTATGGGCGACGCAGATACAAAAGAGGCAGGTGTTAGATATTTCAAATTAAATGTTAATTAAAAAAGTTTTATACATATACATGTATAGTTAAATTTAAACCATATACATCAAAATATATTACGTACATATACGATTACCATGGCAACCGATAACAACTCTTTAAAATTTACATATAATTCCAAGTTATTTATTAAACCGTCATTTGTTTTTTTATATTGCATTTATTGTCCTTTTCACAACCTAAAAGCACTGGCATGGGGTAAATAGCAATAAAAAACTTTTAGTTATTTTAATTTTGTTACGCTAGATATGTGTAACTTGTTACGCTCATAATACATAAGTACACACATACATTCTTTTAAATCGTGATCTTGTTAAATAATACACACCGTGTGTGTGTTTACGTTATTATATTTATTGTGATAAATATCATTAACACGTATAATTTTAAAAAAAAACCGACTTCAATCAGAAAATTAAAAACATTGTTAATACTTATAACATTCAATGATGGCCCTCGATTTCTCTGGGATGCCATCATCAGATCTAGGTTTCCTTATCATGGTACCCTTGGGACTTCTCCTTTCCAACAAAAAAAGAATCATCAAAATCGGTTCATAGGCGACGAAGTTATCCACGAACACACATAAAAAAATAAAAAATATACACGGTCGAATTGAGAAACCTCCTCCTTTTTTGAAGGCGGCTAAAAATAGCCTAAGAAAGTGTTATTTATTTCATAAGTATTGTGAAATCTTTGAAATCGAAATTTTCAAGCTTTTAATACAGTTTCCTAGTACAAGCTTGAAAAATTACATAAGCATAGTTAAACATAATATTATCCTTTTGTAAATAAAAGCATAATAAAGACAAATGAACACTACTAGTGCACTACAACACTAGAAAAGCACTATGTAGGTACATCACACAATATGTTTTCAACTGTCGGGAGCGAACCGACGCCCTTTGGTAGTTCACTATCCACTGCACCAATCGGGTCAAATTAAATTATGCATATGTCGAATTTTAGTCCACTGTAAACGTACTAGCGACCCGCCCCGACTTCGCATGGATGCAACGCTGAATGTTTGTTCTCGACATTGCATTAGAAACCTTTAAAATTATCAGTGTTTCTCCACTATATATTATGCATGAATTTTACATATAAACCTTCCTCTTGAATCACTCTATCTATTAAAGAAAACCGCATCAAAATCCGTTGCGTAGGTTTTAAGATGTAAGCATATATAGGGACAGACAGGCAGCGGTACGACATTGATTTATGCTATGAAGTGATATAGCTGCAAGCTTTTCTATTAGAGGTTATAAGAAACTTGTCACGTTGTAAAGTACTAATGTACAAACTAATAATGTTGTAAGGTACAAAATAAAAAGGGTAAGGTAACAGTAACAAATCCCGTTCTACATTTTTTCCAGTGTCTGTTATTTAAAATGGTTTCATTCAGTCCTGTGGCTTTTCCCATCAATCGATTCGTGTACATTGCAAATAACTATTCCAACCCAGTCATCTATTTTGATAACTGCATGTCAATGACAGCTGTCAAAACTTTATTTGCCGAATGAGGTTACGTCAAGCACTGGAACGAGCAATTTGTTTACGTCACGCGGCAAACGCCTGACGGGTTTTAAATTGGGCCCTTACTGTTTTTACTGTTTTAAATATTTCATTTCATTTCATTTATTTAAAAAAAAACATTGCCCTTACTTTAGGATAACATTATCCTGTGTTGTGAAGACGTTTTACAAACATAAATTTCACGTGGAAAAACACCCAGATGCGAAACAACTATCTGTGGGTCACACAAATAGTTGTCTCGTGTGGGACAACTGTTTGTGTGACACACAGAAATATAAAGTTGTATGTAACTTTAAATTGTGGATTTTTGTGGATAAATAAACAAAAAGTTTCAGCACTGCGGGGTTCTAACTTGAGTCTTCCGATTTCGCACCCAGCCGCTTACTAAAAATATCTACGTTCTTTTCATTGAATTTATAGCAATGACTGGCGCCATCTAGTGTGCATCCTTAAGAACATGCAACACCTCACAAAAGTATTCAACGACGAAGATTTGTACCGAGAGGTGTCGCGTTTGCTCTAAGCATTTAAGGATTAGTTTATATTTTAGCGCTAGACTCTGCACTCAAGATAAAACGCTTTTGTTCATTATCTACAAAATTGACAATTTAAATTTTCATCTTGAATGCACTAAAATAAAAATTAATCTTAAAAGTTGAATGTAGTCGCAATTGCTACTAGTTATAACAAATCAACTATGCCAACTGTAAATTAATTATGGAATTTATAATTAAACTAGCGGACTCGACATACGTTGTCCTGTACACACGTCTTAAATTCGAAAATTTCTAACTTTTTTAAATAAGTTTGCGAATCTAAATGATTTTTTTGTGTGTGTTCACGTAGGAATCTACGTGAACACACACAAAAAAATCATTAAAATTGGTCCAACCGTTATGGAGGAGTTCAGTGACATACATACGATTATATTAATGTTTTTCGTTTTTTGTAAAGTACTTACAAATAAGTTTATAGTGTTTGGCTATAATTTTGGGTTAGCCTGTAATGTAAAACAGTTGTTTGTATACAGTAAATGAAAACATGCAAGTCCTTCAATTCAGTCGAAACTCGATGCGAGGTTCAGAACGTTTTGGTAGCCCAAGATTTTAAGCACACAAAGGCCCGGCAT